AATATTTTATATAAATCTATTTAAATATATTAAAAATTATATTAAAATAATAATAAAAAAATTAAATTTAAAATTAATGAACCGAATCGAAATTGTTAAAATTCATTTTGGATTAGATTAGTTTTAAAGAAAGATCAATTTAAATTCGAATCAAATTTAAAAAAATCATAATATTATACATTCTAAAAAAACGAATTAAATCCAATCCAATCTAAACCATTAATAACCCTAAAAAAATTATTATTAACAAAAAAAAATAATCATCTCCCAATCACTTTTTTTTTTTTCTTAATTATCAACCTCTGTTATTTCGCTCCCACTTGCTCTCCATGGTATCATTTCGCTTCCACTTAAATCCCTAAGTTTTTTATTTTCAAAAATACAAAATGATATATTTAAAATTTATAAAATGTGTTTAAATGAAATTTTTTATAATTTTGAAAAAAATTAAATGAAAACATTTTAAAATGCATTATTTTAAAATATTAATGTTTATAATAATTTTAAAAAAATTATACATATCAAATTGAATTCAAAAAATTTAAAACTCATTACTCATAAAATTAATAGAGTTTTATATATATATATATAAGTATAATATATGAATGATAAAATATAATATTTAATATTAATATTTATAATTTTATTAAATTTTAGTCAAATCAAATTGATTGACTTAATTGAATTACAAACTAATTTAAAACTCATTAATAAAAAAATCAATTTAATCGAATAAATTTGAATCAAATTTAAACTTTTTTATTTTAAATTAAACTCAAATCAAAGTTAAATTTAACTCAAATTTAATAATTTATAGATTCAATTTGAATACATCCTAATAAGGAGCAAATATTTGAAGGAATAATGGCAAACCTAGTATCCAAAATATGGCAGAATCAATGGCAAATTTAGCAATTCATGTTGCAAAACTTATTGAGAAATTAAATTCTGTCAAGGAAGAATTGTTCAATGAATTTAACAATTCCATGGACTTCTTATGATAGATCCAAATTTACAGCAAATGGAATTTCAACCATATACGTTGAAAAAAAAATGCTGAAATTAAAGTCCGTGCGAAGGGCAATAAAATTATTGACGACAGGAGTGAAAATCAGTACAAAACGATGAGTCACCAAACATGAGATACCAAATGTCAAATCTTGAAACAGAGAGGCATCCAATCCCAAAGATTTAACAAGGAAAAGCAAATCAGGCATCTCAGCAAGTCCATCAACAGCAAGGACCAAAGCAACTACAGTTCCTCAGATTTACAAGTAACAATCATGTGAAAAAGAAAGGAGTTTGGGGTAAAAACCATTCCCCATTACAAATTTAACTCAGAATTGATATTGCCAACTTGTGAAGAAAGTAGAATTTACCAGCGACCTATAGTCAGAAGGAAAAGAAGTTAAGCTACTGAACCACTCATTTATAATGGACATACAGCTTAAGAGATAATCAATTATTTAAATATTCTGATTGTAGAGCAAATGATGTAAAAAGTTCTATTGTTATTACGACGATAGTAATTCTAAATTTAATTTAATTATTTTGTAAAATTATTTTTAATATTTAATTCAAAATTTAATTTAATTAATTTATAAATTATTTTTTTAAAAGATAACACTTATAACATTTTATTTCAAACGGACAACTGTTGTTTATAAAAAAATTCCTGTTTATATTTTAAATTTATACAATTAATATTTTTTAAAAAAATTTAAAAGAGGAGAAATTATTTAAAGTTAGCCGTTAATCTATAAAAAAAATTTACAGATCATTTAAAAATTTTTTTAAATTTATAAATTATTATCAATAAAAAATTATAAAAATTTAAATTTAAATATTTTACATTTATATTTTAAAATTTAACCACCTTATATCGATCTCAATTTTGAATTTAGTGACCAATTAATTCTATATTTACATAATATCTCCGATTTGTGACAATTTCATCAAATAATATAATCAAAATGTACCTCTTTTCTAGTTTTATTTATAAAATATTTTTTTTTTTTGCAATGAATTAATTTTAATCTATTTTTAACACTTTAGTATCAATTTGAATTTGATCACATTTTTTATGTAATACGATTGAATTTATTATATTATTAATTAAATTTAAATGTTTAATTTTAGTGAGATTTATTCAATATAAATTTTTATTAAATTTTTCGATCACAATTATAATACTTTTTTTTAATCATACCAACAATAACTTTTATTTCTATTTTTAATCTTACCATAATAAATCTTATCATTTATCTATAATAATGGAGTCTTACTTTCTTTATATTCGTAGCATTACTTTTTTTAATAACTTACTTTGAAAGAACAAGTTCCTTCAGGCTCTTTCCTACGATCCATCTTGGGTCACAGTTTTTATATGTTGAATAAAAGTGAATAAGCAAGAATTATAATAAAAGTTAATGGTGAAAAAAATTAAAATTTGATTTCAAATCATGGTATTAAATTCCAATTTAGATCAAATTTTTTACTTGATTTAGATCAAATTTAGATATTAAATATACTATTATATATATTAAATTTAGATCAAATTTAAGATCTGAAAAAAGTTGAATCAATTATATATGTTTATTAATTTTATATCTATTTTTAAATTTTTATAAAATAAAAATAATTATTTTATATAAATCTCTTTAAATATGTTAAAAATTAGATTAAAATAATATATAAAAAATTAAATTTAAAATTAAAAACCAATGAACAAAACCGAATTAATAAAATTTGGTTTAGATTAGATCAATTTAAAAAAAAAGATTAATTCGAATTCAGATCAAATTTTAAAATTTTGTAATATTATATATTCTAAAAAAACGAATTAAATCTAATCCAATTTAAATTATTATCACTCCTAAAAAAAAATATTATTACCCAAAAAAAAAAAATCCATGCTATTGCTATATATAAAATCCTCTATTTGAAATTGAAGTGCACGTTTAGCCAAATTACCAGCGACTTTATTTCTTATCCATTGAGAAGTTTACTAAGCATAGAGTGAAAATTTTCAAGTAATTTCGACCAAAAATTTTTTTTTCAAGTAATTCCTTAATTTTTCTCTTTTAAAGAATGTTTGTGTTGGGTTTTGTCTCTTTAGAGTATGATCTTTTGTAATATTCCAAGATGATAGAGCTTGACATAAAAAAAATACTTGTAAACTAAACTAAGGAGACTTACATTCTAAGAAGTCTTTTTAGAATATCATCTTGAAATATTTTGTTTATATCTTGAATAATTTAAAATTAATATTTTGTTTCTACTCTCATTATTATTTTTTATTATCTTTAAATAATTAATTTTTATATTTTATATATTAAATAAAATTAAAATATGTATTAAAATAATTTTTTAATTTGTTAGTGGATTAATGTCTAAAGTAATCATTTTTTATTTTCACATTACTACTACAGTTACTTTTACATTGAAATGCATATTCAATTATTGATTTTAATTTCATAGTTGCATATCTAATCTTATTGTTACAATAATTAATTTTATCATTATCTTTATTTTTAATCTTATGAGGACCAATCTCATTATCCGTCCAAATGAATCGTAAATCTTTTATGTTGCCCATAATATTAACGATTCTTATGTATCTTGCAATTTATAATTTAATTGGTACTATGAACATATTAAAAATGGGTGGCCAAAAGAAAGATACTTTAATTAAATTAAATGAATAAAATTTATGTATATTTAGAATTATTGTTTTATATATTGACTTGACTATTGAATTATGGTTTATATTTAATAATTGAATTATTATTTTATATGCATATATTATATTGATGATAGAATTTTTAAAAATTTATATATTTTTGTAAATATATTATTATTAAAATACATGTTATTTGTTAATTTGTTTATAAAATTTATAAAATTTATATTAAATAATTTTTAATTTGTTAATTTTTTTACATACTTATTTTTTTAATTATGACCTAATGATATGTAATAATCCTATAAACTCATTTATCAAGTTTAATTTGATTGATGTATCATATAATTTTATTTAAATTAATTATCATGAATTTTTTTTAAAACTTTACTTTTGATTAAAACAAGTGCAAATTAACTAAACTAAAATAATCTTTTATTTACTTTATAAAAAAATAAAATATAAAAAATTAATATGATGGGAAAGTTTAAAATTTAATTCAATTAATTTATACAATAAACAATAAATCTAAATTTAAATATCAATATTTATAATTTTTTTATGTTACAATTTTTTTATAAAAAAATTTAATAAAGTTAATTTAAACGTAAAAGATTCACAATGTTGAAGTTACATTTTTTCACTTAATTTGGATGTTCATAGTGACTGAATTGCCGTAGTTTTTTGCATGAAATACCTCACCATGCCAGCCAATGTAATTTACAACAATTAACAAACAATACTTTTTGAACCATCCAAATCATGGCATTCTTTCATGAACCATTCCTCCAAAAGCACTTGATCTTCCCTCATAGTCGTCCTGGCATCCAGCCTCCCTTGGTTTGCTTCCCTTCATCCTCCGCTTGCTGCAAATGAAACTGGAAACTTCTTCTAAAATGGAAAGCTAGTCTTGACAACAACACCCAAACTTTGCTCTCTTCTTTGTGGGTTGGAGGCAACCATTGCAACTGGGTGGGAATCACTTGCGACATGGATGGAACCATCACCGATCTAAGCCTTCCAGATCATATGTTGAACTTGAAAGGTACACTTCATAATCTTAACTTTTTTTTCTTCCCTAACCTGGTGTGGCTTAACCTTCGTAACAACTCACTGTATGGGTCCATTCCCTCACAGATTGGGAACCTTTCCAAGCTCACCCACCTTGACTTGTCATACAATACTTTTTCTGGGAATATTCCATCCGAAATTTCCTTATTGAGAAGTCTTGAGTTGATTTCCTTATCAAATAATGAGATCAATGGTTCCATTCCACAAGAAATAGGAAGGTTGAGTTCAGTTTCCAAGATCTATTTCTATGTTAACACATCTAAGTGGTTCTATACCTGAAGAGGTTTGCAACCTTTCCAAGCTCACTGAGCTTGACTTGTCACAGAATAATTTCTTTGGAAGTATTACTTCTAAAATCGGAAGGTTGAGTTCACTTTCTATACTTGCCCTTAATGCAAACAATCTCACCGGTCCAATACCTATTTCCATTGGAAGCTTGCACAATTTGTCCCGACTTATCCTCGTTGACAATAGGCTCAATGGTTCCATACCTAAAGAAGTTGGAATGATGAAGTCACTTAATATGCTTGATCTTTCAACCAACCAACTAACTGGTCCTATCCCAACATCTATAGGAAACTTAGTAACATGGTATGGCTCTATCTGTATGAAAATCAGCTCTCTGGTTCTATCCCCAATGAAATAGGATTGCTTCAATCTCTTAACACGTTGCAGTTGTTAAGTAATAATCTCACTGGTGTCATCCCTGCTTCCATAGGAAACTTGACCAGCTTATCTACTCTCTACCTTTATAAAAATATGTTTTCTGGTTCAATCCCTGCTTCCATAGGAAACTTGACCAGCTATCTGCTCTCTACCTTGGTGAAAATATGTTCTCTGGTTCAATCCCTGCTTCAGTTGGAAACATGACGAAGCTTGTGGAGTTAAGTCTTCTATATAATCATTTATCAGGGCCAATTCCTTCGTTCAGCAATCTTACTCATTTGGAATCATTCCAAATATCGGACATCCATTTCAGTGGTCCATTACCCGAGAATGTATGCTACGGTGGACAACTCTAATGGCTTGGGGCTATGAACAACAATTTGAGGGGTCCAATCCCATCAAGTTTAAGAAACTGCAAAAGCTTATACAGAGTTAGGCTTGAAGGAAACCAGTTGACAGGAAATATATCAGAAGCTTTTGGTATATATCCTAATTTGAATTATATTGCATTAAGCAACAACAAATTTTATGGTGAACTTTCGCCAAACTGGGGGCAATGCCATAATCTAACAAGCCTACGAATCTCCAATAATAACATTTCTGGAAAGATACCACCTGAGCTGAAGCATGCAACTCAATTACACGAACTCGATGTCTCTTCAAATCATCTCATTGGTGAGATTCCCAAGGAATTGGAGCATTGACATTGATGTACAAACTTTTGCTAAGTGGTAACCAACTTTCAGGCAAAATTCCACCAGAGATTGGAGTTCTTTCAAATCTAGAACATCTTAACTTGGCATCAAACAATTTGAGTGGACGGATTCCTAATCAACTTGGAGAGTGCTCAAAGTTATTGGACCTGAATTTGAGCAAGAATAAACTTGGAGAAAGCATTCCACTTTCAGTAAGCTACATAAATGGCCTTCAAATCTAGATTTAAGTCAGAATTTACTTATTGGGGAGATACCACAACAGCTTGCAAAATTACATTCCTTGGAAACATTGGACCTTTCTCACAATATGCTTAATGGTTCCATCCCAAATTCTTTTAATAATTTGCAAAGCTTGACTGTTGTGAATATATCTTACAATCAATTAGAAGGCCCTATTCCTAACATTAAGGCATTTCATGAGGCTTCATTTGATGCCTTAAGAAACAATAAGGGACTATGTGGTAATGCCACTGGACTAATGCCTTGTGCTGTCACTGCAACTAGCAGCGGTCATAGAAAAAGCACCAAAGTCATCATTTTCATTGTGCTT